TATGTATATGTTTATCGGACACTTTACTGTAGCTTTTAATTGGTGGATTAGTTTGCTAAACTTGTTGGAATTGGTGCCCTGATTGGATGAGACCCTTAATATGCAAAGTGTCACACCCATCTTAAATTATCTTACTACCCTAAGTAATTCAGTTGTAGTTTGGAACGACATAATATACATATCATGTCGACATGATATGTATATTATGTCGACTTGACAACATAAATTATCTTGACAAGTCGTCAAGTCGAATGGCACTTAGGTGCTTCCGTAATTTGCTTTGAAATTACCCATGCATGTCCAGAACGATCTCTCTGGGATTTTCCCATAAAGCAATTATAACTCTGGATTTTCCACACAAAGTTGCCATGCCAACAGCCGGTCGTGTATGATGGGCGTTTTCAGGCACATTATTTCCAAGAGTACCATTCCACTAGAATTTATAATGATCAATTCAATAGTTTTTTCGTAATCTTGCTAAAATACGGACAACCAGCGCTGATTACATAACCTCCTATGGCGGAGGTATTATAATTCGCTACAAAGGTGAGACTAAATAACGCTACTTCGGGAAAACATAACAATAGCGCAGAATTGACTAGGCCTACACATTACGTTCAGTGATATGAATCAAATTGTATAGACATACCAGCCATGTTTCTTCATTGCATCTGTATTGTATCTAAATGTATCAGTAGATATTTGTTCGTTGTCCTGTGGACAATAATCAAGCAGCTGTAAGTCATCATATTAGAGAACACCAAGATGGATGAACTCGTTAGTGTAATCATAGAAGTGAATACATGTGAATGTTTAGCTCAAATAGCTTATACCCGAGTTAATCAACACATAACTGACAGTATTAGATTAGAAGAGCAAGAGCTAAAGGTTTACTATGTGGGAAGTTATGGTGAAGGAATGAACAACCTCGGTGATGTCGACATTATGCAAGTGTTGTCAACATTTCCGGTTGTGTTGTGGCCATCTCAAGCAAGAGAAAATCAAAACGAGAGGAAAGAGAGTTTTGTAATTGCTGAGCAGAATCCAGAGGAACCAGCGTTTCTGAAACTTAGTGTAGTTGACAGATCGTGTATACATGAGGATTTCAGAAATGCAATTGATATGGATGGTTATTTTAGCTCCACCACATTCATTACAAGTATGAAGTCTACCAGTAGTGAATTTATTAGCGATAGTGTCAGGGCAGGTATGGGCCTTAGTAAGATACAAGGTCCCTCACTAAAAGGTGGAGTAGACTTTACGATGAGGTTTGATTGCGTCTTTTGCTTGAAGTGTAAATCATGGCCATCGTCTATCAGTTGTGAATATTTGAATAGAAAGAGACAAGACAAGTGGCCACCACAGAAGTTGTTAAACGAGATCGTGCATATGGATTGTCTTGTAGTCGCCGTTGGACATCCCACTAGCCCTTCAAAAGACATTGAATGGAGATTGTCGTTTTCCTTAGCTGAGAAAGAACTCATTCAGAGAATGAGTAAGCCGTTCATTAACTGCATGTATGCCTTGAAATCAATAAAAAACAAGTACATTGTATACAGCGATTCCGACAACCCAACGCCGTTCTGCTCGTATTTCATAAAGACCGCTTGCCTTTGGATGTGTGAAACTTTACCACACAAAGATTACAGCATCATGAATTTGATAAGAAGAGTACTGGATTGGCTTATTGACAGTTACAAAAACAGAAACCTGCCTCATTATTTTATACCGGAGCAAAATTTAATTGGTCATCTGCCAATGGAACGCCGTGATGATGTGATAGCCAAATTGACAGCAGTTAAGAAAGATATCTGGACTATGGTGATGACAAGTGTTGATCGACATCACCTTATAAATTATGTAATAGGCCTATGCGATAAACTTAAGATTCCAGTAGTCAATGGAGATGACGACTATAAAACAGTGGAGTTGATTCTTTTGAATCACCCAAAGGCAACAGAATATCTTGAACAGTGTATTTCTAAGGTACGCTATGGTGACAAGAGACTAGGCCAATTTAAAATCAGGCAATGTGCAACATGGGTGGGAATAGCTTTCACAAACCCATTTACTCAGATTGACTTACTTATACAAGAGGGGGATTTCTCGGAAATTCTTGGATCTCCAGAAGACACCATACTCCCTATTGTAGACAATATTGACGAGATAGTGCCAGAGGGATATGGAGACATGTTCAAGACGCGTTTGTATAGAGTTTTGGGTGATATGTATACTTATTTATTGATTTACTTACGGAAAATTGGTTATCATGATTATCCGGCTATCTATCAGAATAAACCTTTAGAGTACTATAACTTAGGTGCTAAAATGATGTATTTAAACAAATGGTCTGACAAATGCATAGGTGGTCGAGTCCATAAAGTACAATATCATTATTTAATGGGTAATTATGAAATATTGAAAAAGATTCTAGACTGGAAACCCTTACTCAGTAAACTTAAAGAAAATGACTTTTTAATGAATTCGGTTTGTACTATAAACATACATGTAGATTCAGAAATAGTACTAAGTGCTTGGGACATTGATAAAAAGCTGCAGCAGTGCTTTGAATGTCCTGTTGGAACAACAGTAGCAATGAATCCAATCGTATTTATCTTTTATGTAATGACCAAAGTACATCTTAGAGAGGGAGACCTGGAGAAGGCCTCTGCGATTGTAAAAGAAATGAAGGGTTGCTCTGAGACTATGGTACAAAGACCACGAGAGTTACCTGATTTAACCGAGTCAATGATTGAATTGGTTGAATTTGAAATACTATCCCTGTGGGCATAACTTGGTTGAAATAACATTGATCAACGTTTATATGCAAACGTTGAATATACATTTATTTATTTTTTTAATTTATTTTTTATGGTACTGTAAAACCCTTTATTTTTGCGCGCCCTTAACTTTCGCAATAAGACGGCGAATGCCAAAATTTAGGACGCACGAGAATCGCGAAATTATAAATGATAGTTTTGTTTTCTAAAAACAAAGCTATAGCAATCTTAGCTAGCTATGCCATTACATCACACTTCACTTCACACAACAATACAGAAACAGTGCTAGGAATAGGCCTATCCTGGGGCTACATTCAATGGAATAAAAATCACAGCATTGTATTTATAGGCCTACGAATATTTCTTAGTTAATAACTTGACTATTGGAACACTAGGTTAACATTTTTGTCAACTTAGTTAGGCCTCCAGTTGCTGCAAGATTTTTAATATTTTTTGATTAAAAAAAAACCTTGTTCAGGCCTGCCCTGGAGCGGCTGCAGCATTCTAGGCCTTAATGGACTCGACCCCATGACATCATATCTTCTATGGCATTTTATTACACAATTTCTTTATTCATTTATTTACAGGACTACATTCGTTGCGAGCTATGCAACACGATGTATTATTATGTCCTTTATTCGAACATTGCATTTACCTTTCTTTGATGATTTACGTATATAATTTAACAGTGTTAACGGCTACCTTGATTTATATTTCAGTATATGCTATTATTTGTTTCTAGCCTTACTTATTGTGTAATGGAGTGTATCTGGTGGTATTTGAATCTGTTTAACCATGAATCCTCCGTGGTCTAATGGTTATGACGCTCGCCTTGACAGCGAGAGGTCGCAGGTTCAAGTCCCGCCAGAGGGATTTTATTACACAATTTCTTTATTCATTTATTTACAGGACTACATTCCTTGCGAGCTTTGCTACACGATGTATTATTATTATTATGTCCTTTATTCGAACACTGTATTTACCTTTCTTTGATTATATACGTATATATCTGCATGCGCAGAAAGACAGAGCGGTTATTCAAAGGGTTCAATTAGTTGGGTCTGATTAAAGTTTGATAAACAATGAAAGGGATTAAAATGATAAACATAATAATAATAATTAATATATAATTATTTTTTGCATTTGTATAATTTTAACCACCATGCCATATCTTAATTGCTTATAATGTTAATATTTTTATTTGACGTAACAATTAAGGTGTTCTTTTCCATCACTTTTCATTAGGCTGTGTATCTTTAATAATACGATAATGATTAATTATTTCTTTCTGTTAAATACACAGTTTGTGATAACCTCTCATGGCACCAATTCATAAAAATTATTGAAATAATAAAATGTTTTGTGTGTAATGAATTCATGTTTTTACCAATTAGGCCTATGTGATAAATATTTCTTCTTGTAATAGCATTTAATAAAATAAAAATAATGAATTGGATATTTTAAGTTTCACTCTTTTTATGCATGATGCTCAAAGTAAATGTTTTCGCTGTTGTACTGTATAATGTAATTGTAACTAAGCTAAACTAGGTGTTTGGTCACATACATTATACACGCTGTTAGTGTGTAATTTTAAAGAAACAACCTGAACACCTTTTGCTGTTAAGCTAAATTTTGGCACATTAGAAGTTAGTTTCACAAAATTAAATGGCTGGTTCCTTTCTTACCCCCACACCATTCCCATGCCACCAACTGATCTGATATGTTCAACCTTATGACATAGGCCTAGTTCATGTACTGTTTGTTTTGTTTTGTTTGTTTTTTTAAGACATCTCAATTTATTATATTTACAAGAAAATGAAGAAATTGCAATATTTCAGTTAAAACTCATTTAAATTTCAAAGGGATGAACTAGGCCTCCGTCAGGCAAATGGTCCAGGTGCAAGTGGGGGAGGGGAATATCCACGTCGGACAGAACCGGCCCTTGTCGTCCGACCTCTCTGTCCTTGTCGGCAAATTTTCTGGCGCCACCGCTGCCCTGGTCAAGACGATACCGTATAGGTCGGTAGGGCCGACCTGCTTAGGCTTAACTAGAGCTATGCTCAAATCATTTCGGCTGATGCCTACAGTCCTACAACAGAATTAATTTTTATTTGAAATAAAGCAGGTTTCACAATGAATAATACTCACATTTTATTTGTTTTGATTTTCATGTCTCTGGCCTAACAATACAATACGCAGCCATGTCCAGTTTGTTTACATTGCGCCACCAGGATTTAATGTTTTTTTCCCCCATTTTCCAGTTTAGTTCCTAATTTTTAATTAATGATAAGGTATTACTTACAGTGTTGTAAATAAATAAATAAATATATAACCGTACTTTACCTAGGTACGTCCGTATCACCAAAATACACTGGGCCTTTCCATATACAAATTACACCCCTGAATATGATCGCTGAAATTTTTAATGTAAGGCCTAGCCTGTGTTCGATTTAAAAAAAAAAATCTGGCATATTCATGAGAAACGCTTTACAAAACTTGATTTCCTTTCATAGAGACGATGCGTACAAGGGGAAATCTTATTGTCCTGAGGTTTCCAAGATTGAATCATAACTTATACCGTACCGGAAAAGATTTTAAAAAGTTGTTATGGCCTACGACAGATAGCATGAGCACAGGTCTTAAATACATAATAAATACATGTTTTCTTAAGAATGTAAATGTTCGGGAAGCCATTCGCAGAGAATTTTGTTCGTGTTATAGATTACCACGCATGTGGAAATGCCATTAAATCTATCAAAAAAAGCATTAATGATCTTTTTTTTCCGTAATATTATTGCACGGAAGCAGCGTTCTGAGACCATGATAGTTCATTTTTTGAAATCCCTTTTCTTGTCTCATTGGTTTTTTTTTCATCTGTAGCCCTAAACTGTGCTTTTCATTGTTGTTTTTTTCGGCATCTGTTTTGTGAAAGAATAAATGAAATGATCATACAATTTTTGGGTCTGGATGTTCACAATTTATGAATATTGTTCGCTCCAGGTTTAACACTAAAGCTCCAGAAAAATATTATTAGTTTATCACCATTTACTAAAGCCAAATATCACCCTTGAGTTGTTTGCTATTGCATTGATATTTAGAGTAAAACATGACTGAGATAATACAAACAATAGGCCTATCTACTAACTATTTAATAAAAACAAATTTTTTTTTCTAATATATTTTTTCAGTACCATAAAAGACATTTTTTTTTATTTAGATTAATTGGATTATTATTTTGTTATCGTAAGATGATTTTCCCTCTGTCTGTCCCTCAGCCTGTGCTACTGTCTAAGCCTCGAAGATATCATTTTAGTCTATGCTTAGGCCTATAAATCATTTACAAAATAAGTATTTGAATGTAAATATTTATTTTAAAATTACATCAAAATTATTACAAGAGGTCAATCATTTAAATTTTCGATATTATTATTTACAATAAAAGACTAATTCATTTTTAAAGTATTTACGAATAATGGTAATAATAATGTATTGTTTTCATAAATTATATTCCTTGTTGACAATGTTACAATAAACAATGAACGTAACATCATTCTGTGGCAACTCTGATTTTATGGATGGCCTCATAAAAAAGAAAAATGATATAGCGCCATCTACGACATCAATTACTTTCGCCATCTTGAAACCCCAATTCTGTGCTTTCGTTGGGAAGAGGACGTTGAATATATCGAAATTTTCATATAAAGGTAACGATGATACGTTAATTTTTAAGCGCATACATTTTAAAAATCTCATATACGTAATTAAGTATTGTTATAACTACGTCCAGACGATACATGTTTGTCTCTGTTAGCCAAAATCAGACAGTGGCTTAGCTTTTAGGCAAGGGCCTAGCCTAGGCAGGCCTTCTTATTTCTTTCCTCCGTGCATGCTTAGGCTAGGGCCCTAGGCCCCTAGCTACGGACGTGGGAAAAGTTTTTTAATTGCGCGTAGGCCTATATCGCAAAAACCAGCTGAAATTTGCGTAGAAAATCGTTAGGACAATAGGTGCACTGATTCGTGTTACCTGCTGCATAAAACTACATTGTATTAAAATTTAAATATAGCCTAGACCCAGGCCTAAAAGGAGGCTAGGCCTAGGCTAGCTAGGCCAGGCGACTAGCCTAGGGCCTATAATAATATCAGTAGTAGGCTCTAGGACCTAGGCTTATTTATTGAGATTAGGTCAAAGCCTAATTTTCGGCAAATCTGTGCAGAAATCGGCCCTTATTTCCCCAAATGCGCAGACAGATTTCTAGGCAAAATTGTTTGCATGGAGGATGTAGGCTACACAGACAGTATTTCCCGTGCAGACCTCTATTTATACAAGGTCTTGGGCCTAGGCCTACATACTTTAGTCAATTAAAAGCATCACAACATGCCATACACCCCATGGCCATACACAGTGACATTGACAATGATTAAACATCAAGTCAATTTAATAATATTAATGTTATTTACCTTCTTTTTCAGCAGGAATTAAACGAATTCAGTATGTCAAGATATGGAGAATACAGTCGTATGTTTCCAGCCAGTATATCTAATCATCTGAGGCCGTATGTGCGCACATTAGGTCCATTTTTAGCACCAGGAATTATCATCATCGGCTATGTAATGATTAAAGGCACATTTGCTGGAAGTAAGTATGCAATAATTGAATGTATTACTGCAATTGTATGACATCTGCCATTAAAATTAAAGAAAGTTTTGAGAAAAGCTCTGTCCACCACATATTTTCTTTGATGGAAACTATGCCCATATATAGAGTTGATGTGCCTATATATGGTCATGATGTGATGTCATCATGACCATATTTAGGCATGTCATGTTTTTGTGAAATAAAATTTAATTGACTGGACATGGCTGTATAATTTCAACATTTATATATATAAAAACATTGTCTGAAATTGAATAACAGTCTTAAGAAGACCTGTTTGGATTTGACAATTTTAGTCAAATTTGTGTAACCAGTATAATGTTGATCATATCTATCTGTCTCATATTTACCGAAAGGTCCACTGATTAATCTCAGATAAGAAAGTATAGTACATACTCCAAAGTATTGAAACGCACGCCATCGTGTTGGGATTCAATATTTCAACATTAATCATGTCGGCGAAAAATGATGGTTGCTCTACCTGATGTTTTATAAGTACTGAATGATCAGTACATTCCCAAATACTTGCGAAAAAAGTCTCAAAAGTGATTTGGGTGGGAATCGAACTCACGACCTCCAGGTAACTAGCCTGATGTCTTAACCACTAGACCACCGAGCTTGCTATTGGTGGCTAGTGATGGCAAGTGGCAGCAAGTACTGCAAGGGCAAACATCATTTCATATTATTCTCCTGACGCAAACGCTATCGGAATTCATTCAGTCATCGTTAGGAATGAAAAAATTATCCATATTATTGTCTCGTATTTCTTTAGTATTTTTACTGAATATTGTTTAAACTCTTTCTAATCTGCTGATTTAAATAATTGTAGCGGTCAAAATAGTATTCAACACTATTCATAAATATAATCAATATACAGTACATATTTTTTTTAGTATGATTTAACTGGACCAATTTTGGGGTGTTTTTTTTGCATTTCAGTTGCTCAAAGGAGGTCTGCAAGTGCATTAGCTAGTGGAGGACACCATTAAACAAGGAGATGACCTCATAGAATGATAACCAATGGACTGTTGTGATTTAAGAAAATGGAATAATCTTACAAATTCACCAATCAGAGTCGAACCTGTTTAACCAATTGAAATGCAATATTTCTAACTTCGGGAAGCTTCCACCAATCCAGTTCCCTGTCCTTTAGGCGTTTGCTGTTTTAATTATTCATGCATAAAAACCAGATTTGTTTGAATAAAGCTGTGTTGTGCAGGGAATTTAGGCAGATTTATATATAGAGATGGTTAGTATCTGGCAGAAATAAAGTGTTAAAGATGAAAATTGTTTGAGTATTTTTTGTCAACAATGCAAGGTCGAGTGAGGATGTTGAAACTGATTGTAGAAGTGGTTTGGCCCAGCGGAACGGTTAATTTCTTGAGGCCGGGGATTCAATCCCTCGCTGTGCATTTCGCTTGTGTCCTTGAGCAATGCAAAAGTGGGTAGCTCTAAAATGCCAAAATTCGCTGATTAGCTGCTGCGCTGCTGCAATGTTATGGAATACTCTCCTGGGGAGCTGAGTTTTCAGTTCCATAGGTGGGTAACAAAGATCATACAACAAGATACTGTACTGTTCTTCGCAATTTCTCTGTGCAAATTCTGTAACAATGCAGTATAGGACGCCCTCTTGCAATTACTTTCCAACATTGATATCAAAGATCTGTGATAATGCAGTGTAGGGTGCCCTCTTGCAGTTACAATTACATTTTTACTTTGTCATCAACAATCTTTAACTAAAGACAGCACATTCTGCGATTTCTGCATGCAAATTCTGTAACAACCATGGTAACAACTAGGACACCCGCTCAAATACAATTACTTTTTATCCTTTTACTGAATATCGACGCTTCTAGTTGTGAGCACTATTTTGCTATTACTGTATAAGATCTTGGCGAGCAATACATGACATAACGATTTCTATGACAACATTAGTAGAGGCTAACAATATAACAATTTGCAGTCTGAATTTCAATGCAATCAATGCATTTAACATTTATTCAGTAAACTATCATTCAAAATAAGAAAATTAACATCTCTGTAAACAGGTCAAAACGCTATTAGCTTTATAAAATTAGAAGAGAGATTTGAACTGGAAAATTATATTAATTGAAATTTCTTGAACAGGTCATCTCAAATAATAAACTATTGATTGCATTAATTAAATTTTTTTTAAACGCAGTATTGGTGGTTTTGAGGTGGTAATTGACACATAAAAATGGGCTTTTTTTTTTCTATTTATAGTACCCAAATCGTCTATGCACATGGGTCAAGACATTAAAGGTGTATTGCAGCCTACCTAAACTTAAATTTTTCTTAGCTAGGCAGCGCAGTTTAACTGAAACTAAAATTATACAACAAAATTGACAAATGAAAAACTAATACTGTAGTACGAAAACAATAAACGGCTGTGCAATGCAACTTTTTTTTTTCGTTAATGAATGGGACAATTGATTTAATCCCATGTGACCTTTAATTGACCAATTAAATGGCAAGAACCAAAATAGGTGTTCTATAAAATATGATAGGGAACTTTCGATTTAAACGACGACAGATAATGAACTCGTTCATCCTTCTCTGCACAACATAGATTTGCTTGGCTCTACCGTCGTCATGCGATCGAAATCTCCCTAATACAGTAATGCATTTCACACTGTAGACATCAGTAATCTAAACAAGCTTTTTCCACACAATTTTGAGTGACTTGCCCATGTAGTGGCATGATGTCAAAACACAGTTTAAGCACATGTTCTCCATATGCATTGCTCAGCTATTATGAGACTGTTGACTGCTTCTGCTCACTTCCACAAACAGAAATTTAACTTCTCCTCTGTTTACTCAAAACTAATTACAATTATTAAAATTCTAAGCTATTGCATGTACAGTAAATGAAATATATAATATTCTCCAACATACTTCACAAATGAAAAATATATAGTTTTTATCTACTTATTAAACACACATATCTTGAATGTTGTACTAAAATTTTACTGTTTTAAACTAGAATATTTACAGCAGGGCTTACCTACTCCCCCTACCCTCCAAATTCCCACGCAGCAGCAAAAGTAAATCTTTAACACAGCATGAAATGTTGTTTAAGATAAAAGATTAATAGGCTAAAATGGCTACACTTTTCGTGGGGATATGCCCTCTGGATCTCCCTACTCTGTCCTTTACTGATTGATCACGCCACTGGCAAAAACATCCTGAATCTGCCAACAATATAAAAAATATAAAATATTGATCAATACAAATGAGTACTTTATACAGAAATGCTAATTCTATTCGTAACCAGGTGTCACAATCAATCTGATGAAAGGACAGTAAAAAGCAGCTTTATTATTGTAAAATCTACGACAATTTTAAGTTCTTCATACACAATTAAATAGACGAGTCAGTAGGCGAGAACAGGAAAATGCACCTTTTTGAGTAACACCACCTTAGCCACATTTCCTTACGATGTCTGTCATTTGTAGGGCCTTAGCAATAATGTCTATGGGGGAAGCGTTTAGCATAACGTCAAATGTGTTTCAACCAAAATATATAGAAAGAAAAATACTGCTGTTACAATGTTTTTTAATTATAATATAATGTATACTTTATACATTGTTTCAAACATTATATGAACTTTGAATGTATAGCCTTTATGTCTGTTACCAAATTTTGAGAGCATCATATTATTTAGACCCAGAAATATTTTAATCTGGTTCTCCGGTTTAAACAATATGTTGCTCATTTTAAATACTGTAGGAATTAATATAGAGCTGGCAGTACAGCATGTTTTTTTTTTCTAATTCATGTTTGCAGATAGACATTAAGGTTATATATAAAATATGTTACATCCTACCTTACATAAAACTAGTTTTTTTTTTTCTAAATACACCACACTAGGGGTATTATTCTTTTAATAAACTTGACAAAAATATTAAAAAAAATCTTGTACTGGTATATGAATTTTCATAAACAATGTTTATGCATTTGAGAACAAACTTCAGTAATTTTTGAATACAAGAACACACAACAAATAAGGAGAAAATTGCATTATTAAATTGGAATCAAAAATTTACCTGAAAAAATTGCATTAATAAATCTGTCTCTTATACACATCTAGATGTGTATAAGAGACAGGCCAAAGTACATCAATCAATCAATCATTTCATTTGCATCAGTCCATAGTCATGTTAAACGAGATAAATATGCAAATTTGGAAGTCCCAGTATGCTTGGCTTGTATAGGGTACCATAGTAGCTTACATAGAATAATACTTAATTATATATTTATCTACACAGAACTCAAAACACTGGCAAAAAATCCTTAAGTTTACATTTATTTGTTTGGCCTCTTATCTATTCGTTTCTGTTTTATATTACAATCTCTCATTTCTATTCAAAAACAGTTCATTCATTTCCATGTCCTAATTCTTCACTAACGTTTGGAATAAGTCTATACTACTATGCTATTTTCTTAATAATAATTGACAACAATCATAAAATATAATTAATAATATTAAAAGAAACACAATAACTTACCTTGCACCAGCAACCATAGCAGCTGTTTTCAGGTACCCATTGGAGATCGAGAAGATGAATATAAAACCAATGTACAGGTAATCATTTAGAAAGAATACCGGTAAGGTTCTGGTTTCTGGACGGTAGTTACAAAACATAAATATAGGGAAAAACACAAGGCGGATGGCCACTGGTATCCACAAATAGTTTGGTGGAGGCTGAAAAGAGAATAAGGCCGTTGTGAAATTGAAAGTTATCAATTTACAAATTTTATATATAGATTGGTAACTTCAGTGATGAAAAAAAAGTGCCTTTTCTAGATTAAAAAAATTATATATAGCACTTCCTGTGCGGCCGTTCCAAGGTTAAAAAAAAATATAAAAGCAGTTATGTTGTTTTGCCATGGGGCAGCTGTGAGTTAAATTAATATACTTGAAAAATGCAGTATCTAGATTATTTTATCTTTCAATTTTAAATCAGAATACTTTTCAATTAATGAACACCATTCATACATATCATGACATAATTGTAATAAAAAAAATTAATGGGCAACATCAATTTGGTTTTCATACGAATACTGTATAACAATGGCAGGGCTATACTGTACAAACTGCAACACTTACTGGTCGTAAGTAACCAGGAATGCAACTGCCAAGGAAGTCCAGGAAATTGAACATAAAGAAGCATGTTACCGGTGTAAAGTACACATCTAAAAAAAAAAAAAAGATTAGAAGTGACATTATTGTTATTGGTACTAATTAAAATAAATGAAGCTTGCAGAACAAAATTAACCAATAAAATTGAATCACAGAGCACTTAGTTGCATCCCGCATTAAACATGAATTGATCTTAGGCCGTGTTTCTACTGAATACCACCAAATAATCGTTATACCAAATGGTTATTCCTACATAAATGCGTTTCTGCTGAATAAGCCCTGTTGGAATAAAGAAGATAAATAGACAGTTTTGGGTTCAAATCTTGATAGGGACAAAAAATCAATACGTTTTTCTAAAAAAATATCTTTATCACCGGTGGAAGTGTATTTCTAAAGTTTCTATATTGTTCTATTAGAATAGTGTGCCGTTTATTTTTTTGGTCCCCATTTTTTGTTGCAAAGCTTAACCTTGATCAGTAGATAAATTGTAAAAAAAATCCATCTTTTAATAGGAAGATTGAATGGCACAGTGCTTGTGGTGCACACCCTTCAACTTTGTGGTCAGAGGTTCAAATCCCCCACACATTTCTCTTGTTCCCTTAGGCAGGACACCTTTATAAAAGCCCAGGCCCAGCTGGCCCACCCCTTGGCACCACCCCTGGCTATGACAAGAAACCCTGACACTGATTGTACCTTTTTGGAGTTTTAATCAATCTACTAACCAATCAGATCAGCCCAGGAATATGTGCATGTGTCACAAATATACAAGTTTACGTACATTTACAATGTCACTCTCTAGGAGCTTAGTAGCAATAGCCAATGGGTGAAACGGTTCATTGAACCCTGAACTTGTGACTAGGAAAGACAATCATAAACTGGCTACAAATTACTCCACAACAGTAAATGCTTAACTTCTTGAACCTTACCGAAGAACGTTGATCTGGGCTCTGGTGTGGCAGGCTCAACTTGCACCAGCATTGGTGGGAACACAGCCAAGGTGACGAAAAAAGTAAGCCATATGTTGAACAGTTGTTTGGAAACCTGTATAACAATAATGGGAATGTCAACAAAATACATACACTAACACCGTATGGTATCATAAGGCCTAAGAAAATCAATTGTTTGTTTGCCCTTTAATGCTGAAAATTGTATAAGAGGGGTGGGCGTAAAAAGGTTTTTTTTTTCCTCCTGTCACCATAATTAAGCCTGTCTCACTATTGGTTTTTCAAAGGGTATTAATCAGACTGAATAAAAATAACCCACAATCGATACTTGCAATGAATTTAGGCCAAGAATGGTGATACCTTACATCAGACACCAAATTTAGACAAATTTCATGTGCAAAATGGAGATCACTTTATAAAATTTGTGGACCAATAATAATAAAAAAAATAACTTGTTTTAAAAACAACCGCGCCTATTTTTCCGTGAGCTAGGGGCGGGCGCTGGGAGGCAAACAAACAGTTTTTTTAAAGACTAATATAACACATGTTATCTATTGAGTAATAACGTGTTAATATGCAAACTAGTACTATGATAAAAATTATTATTTTTGAAGTATCATTAACAGCTTATTCCTCAGTGGTATATCATGGAGTCTTGAAATGGAGGCCTGATGGGGGAACTAAGGTGGAGTGGGGTACTAGATGATTAAGTAAGGGGCACTAGGTGGCCAAAGAAGTTAATTTTTAGCTACTTGAGCATGACTGGGGGGTGAGCTTTTTTTATTTATTCTTTATTAATTTTTTTTATTTAGGTGATATTGTGAAAAAATTTTACCCAAGTTGAAATAAATATGGTTTTATTTGATTTTTTTGTCAATTACACAACAAAATATGGTGAGGGTGGGGGGTACACTAAATTCTGTAAAACCCAACATATTATAACAGCATTTGTAGTGTACACTCTCAACTTCAGCTCACCCTAAAATATCACCAAATGCTACTTTGTATCTACAACATTATCTAAGTATGTTCGAAGGGATGGCTCTGTACTGCGACTGCAGCAAATGCCCAGCCCGAATTCCATACTCAACTTAAACACATCGAGTTGTACTTTAATTTTTTCCTATTGCATGCATTTGAATAACTAGGCCTCTCCCGTTCCCCCAGTTCATCTTACCGCAACGAAGATCCTTCCGTACGGTGGTCTTTTATGTGTTACTACTGCTTTATCATCATCATTATCATTGCTTTGTTCATGTCCGATGTAGTACTTTGAAAATGACTAAAAATATTTTTTAAAAAAAACATTTATTAGTTCATGTCAAATATTTTTCTAAAGATTATCATTAATACTACAGACCTCCCTCTGATTAAAGACCCCTCCAATAATTATTATTACCATTACAATTATCTGATTGTAAAAATTCATCAGGATATTAAATTATTCAAATGGTTTGATAGTATAATACATACTTCAAGTCTTGAAATGCATGCCATCGTGTTGGGATTCAATATTTTGACATTAATTATGTCATCATGCTAATGATGACATAATAAATGTCGAAATATTGAATCCCAACAGTTAGCAGTATCCGGTTAGCAAGCACTATAGGTTAGCAAGTTGAGCGCGTTTCTATCATCAACCAATCACACGTACGCGTTTACAATTTCCAGTTTCTTACTGGCCAGTGATTCGATTATCATATTCTACACAGACTATATATATAATACAAATCTCCCTCTGATTAAAGACCCCTCCAATAATTATTATTACCATTACAATTATCTGATTGTAAAAATTTGTCAAGATTTTAAATGATTCAAATGGTTTGATAGTATAATACATATTTTAAGTCTCGAAATGCACGCCATTGTGTTGGGATTCAATATTTTGACACTTATTATGTCATCATTAGCATGATGACATAATTATTGTCGAAAAATATTGAATCCCAACCGTTACCGGTATCCGGTTAGCAAGCGCTATAGGTTAGCAAATTGAGAACGTTTCTATCATTAACCAATCATACGTATGCGTTTACAATTTCAAGTTTCTTATTGGCCTGTGATTCGCTTATCATATTCTTGGTATCCGGATCAGGATTTTCTTGTATGGACGCACGGCAGCTAACGGTTAGCAGGATCCGGATCCTGCTAACTGTTAGCTGCCGTGTGAGAACATAGCCTAATTGTTTCTGACTTACTAATTTAAACAACATATTGTAAGAGATGAAACAAATACCAATCACGAGGCAGGCACAGCCAAAGAAGCCAATGGCAGCATTTCGTAAACTTTTAGCAGCTGTAAAAAAACAAAAAAATGTTAAAGTATTTAATCAGTGCCATGTTCAATTTTAAGATTTTTCCATATTTATACCTCCAGAGATTTCTTTTTAATTATTAATTAAATCAATTTATTTTAGATTTTTAAGAAGCTGTAGGAAGTTATCAATATACAGTGCACCATTCAATTTGAGACCTCTATAATTCCAAAACCCCTATAATTCCAAAACCACTATAACTTCCAAGACTACTTTTTCAAGGATCCAAATGAGAATCTCAAAAATGTTAACACAAATTTTACCCTCTAAATGGAGTCCAAACCAGAAACAACAGAAAAGTTGTCTTTAACTGGAGGGAGTCTTTAAATGGAGGGGTCTTAAATTAGAGGCAGACCTGTATATGCAATTAAAGAACTCTTTACTAAAAATAAATTCATTTTTACAAATTTTAATTCAAAAAAGAAGAGTTAAAATGTCAAGGTTACAAAAACCATAGGGATTTGATTATTTTATTATATAAATAAATTAAATTATATATAGGTAAACTTAACTATAAACAGATAAATTTGACACGGTTATAATAACAAAACTCTGTAAGACACAGTAAAGTGAAAGGCTATTATATGAATGATGCTTGAGAATGTGGAAGACGACGTCAGATACACCGGGAGGGGGTCTAGTTGGACGACTGCCAAAAGCAAATAAACTTGCAGAGTCTTTAAGTGGAAGCAGCTGTTTGCTAATATCTTGTTCACTATTCTTTATTCCAAGAATGAAATCGCAACCAATATAATATGAATGATAATTGTTTACAAATGCAACTTTCCCCGCTGTCACACAAAGTGACATTAGAGTCCTGTGAACAGTTCGTTCTAACATTTAACAAGTATAAATTTAAACCATATTTAACAGGGTGGTCTTACCATCTTAGATATGTGATGTTCTATGTTCAATTCTAAAGCCCAGTTTAGATTTAGATAATTTGTCAAAATAAGCAGCATGTACCTGATTAGGTCAGTA